TTTATTTATTTATTTATTTATTTATTTATTTATTTTTGAGACAGAGTCTTGCTCTGTAGCTCTGGCTGGAGTGCAGTGGTGTGATCTCAGCTCGCTGCAACCTCCATCTCCCGGGTCCCTGTTCAAACAGTTCTCCTGCCTCAGGCCCCCAAGTAGCTGGCATTATAGGCACATGCCACCATGCCCAGCTAATTTTTGTATTTTCAGAAAAGAAGTGGTTTCACCACATTGGCCAGGCTGGTCTTGAACTCCTGACCTTGTGATCCACCTGCCTCGGCCTCCCAAAGTGTTGAAATTACAGGTGTGAGCCACGACACCTGGCCGTTCGTTTAAACTAGAGTAAATACACCTGCTGAATATGTTGATGTGAACATTAATTGTAATCTGTGTAGCAATTGTCTGAGCATTGCCTTGAACATCATAGGCCATCTCAGTGGCGAGTATAATAATCATCATGTTTAAATGTAAAATTCAAAAATATCTGAAGCCTGTGTGGCTGAATAAAAGCATACAAATACAATGAAAATATCATTCTAAGTGAGGCTTAGTAAGTGGACGAAATAGTTACTTCATTTGCTGTTATCTATATCTACTTTCCTAGCTCTCAAAAGTCTATGGCCCTGTGTTCACTCTGTATTTTGGCCTGGAACGCATGGTGGTGCTGCATGGATATGAAGCAGTGAAGGAAGCCCTGATTGATCTTGGAGAGGAGTTTTCTGGAAGAGGCCATTTCCCACTGGCTGAAAGAGCTAACAGAAGATTTGGTAGGTGTGCATGTGTCTGTTTCAGCGTCCATCTTGGGGATGGGGACGATGGAAAACAGAGACTTGCAGAGCTTCTCAGGCAGGGCTTGGCCCATCCACGTGGCTACCCAGTGTCAGCTTCCTCTTTCTTGCCTGGGATCTCCCTTCTAGTTTCTGTTTCTCTTCTTGTTAGGACTCGTTTTCAGCAATGGAAAGAGATGGAAGGAGATCCGGCGTTTCTCCCTCATGACGCTGCGGAATTTTGGCATGGGGAAGAGGAGCATTGAGGATCGTGTTCAAGAGGAAGCTCGCTGCCTTGTGGAGGAGTTGAGAAAAACCAAGGGTGGGTGAACCTACTCTGTATCACTGACCTTACTGGACTGCTCTCCCCTCTACTGACATTCTTGGAAACATTTCAGGGGTGGCCAGATCTTTCATTATGAGTTCTGGTTGTTAGCTCATGTGAATAGGGGTTTGAGGCTGAGAGCCAAGGGAATTTGCACATATTTCTGCTGTGTGTGTACAGGCATGATTGTGCATACGCTATGGGTATAAAAGGCTCGTTTAATCCTGTGTTCTCCTGAACTTTGCTTCTTTGCTTTCAAATAAGAAATCATGAATATAGATTTTGAGTTCATTTTTTGAAAGAGTTAACGAGCAGTGTTTTTCCCATTACTTATTCCAGATTATGTCACCAGAGAATATTTGGCAAATGGACATGGTGGGAATGGCCCTATCACACCTCAATGGGGCATGAACCAAATGGCATGTGCTTTTATTTAATTGGACTGTGTTTGTACGGTCAGCCTCACTGACTTGTCTGGATTTCTTTTAGGCCCATGCTTGCTTAGGCATATCTTACAGCAGTTCTCATCAATTATTATTTCTCTGTAAACATGGCATTATTTAAAAAATAGTATTAACTATTTCTTGTTACTCTTGATTTATATATTTTCAGTAAATATATGCTGTAGCATAATTCTGTGAAATACACAAATGTCAATGTACAAAACAATTTATTTAACTAGATTTTAATTATTAGTAGTAACTCTGTAATCTGTTTTCCCTAAGTATAATTTGTCTCTGTTTCAGTTTTCCTTATCTTTTTCCCACCATATTTATGAAATTTTGGCTTAGAAATTTGTGGTAATTATTTTTTTCCACTGCCATCTCTACTCATCTATGAAGTTTTACAATGTGTATGTTTATCAGCCTCGATACCAAATTACTTTGTTTTTAAATTCTGTTTTCCAAATGAAGTGAAAGACTGAAAATTAGATTTATCTGTGAATGACACAAAAAACTAACAGATTTCCAGCTGTTCGATGCCCGGCCATTCAGAGGAATATGGATTAAAGTCACTATTTAGGGCCCATAGATGTGAATTTGGGAGTTCTTTAAATACAAAGTTTAATATCTCAAAATAATAAGAGCTATTTATGACAAACCCATAGCCAATATCATATTGAATGGGCAAAAGCTGGAAGCATTCATTTTGAAAACTAGCACAAGACAAGGATGCCCTCTCTCAGCACTGCTATTCAACATAGTATTGGAAGTTCTGAACAGAGCAATCAGGCAAGAGGGTATTCAAATGGGAACAGAAGAAGTCAAATTGTCTCTGTTTGCAGGTGACATGATTGCATATTTAGAAACCCCATCATCTCAG